AATAAGTCTAAGCTATGGGTAGTCCACGGACCCGTCCCTATGAAACACACCCTCGACTCTGTACTTCTTCAGGTGAGACGCTTCATAGATATGGCGCCCAAAGAAGTGGTGGTCATTGACTTCCATCGGTTCGAGAAAGGCTTCAATAAAGACGAGATATCGCAGCAAATGATTAGAAGACATCACCGGAAAGTGTATTCACTGATTGCCAAACATTTGAGGGATTATTTAGTGCCACAGAATATGGGTCTCCACTCGACGCTCAACCAACTGATCGCAAAAAACAAGAGAATAATTATTGGCTACTCGTCTGACCACTACTTAACGGATAAGACATTTGTTTTCCCAAAAACCAAGCACTTGTGGCCCAACACAGACGACATCGAGGAGATGGTCGAGTATTTTAACGAAACTCTTTGCGACAGTTATCCCAATCAGTTGTTCTCAGCGATGGTTCAGTTGACTGCAGACAAGTTCGGTATTATTATCGACAGATACGACGGTTTGCGGGCAATGGCACAGACCGTCAATCATGATATTACCGATGCGTTTAGTGATTACGAGCCGTTAGGGTGGGCTAACTGTGCTAATGTGGTCGCTTCCGACTACTTTCTCGGCAATAATCTAATTGACATATCCATCAAAACAAATCTGTTTCGATCCAAACAATCCATTCATTCGCAAAGATATAAATAAAAATTATATCTTAATTCATATATCAATATACGATTGAATTGTAAACATATTTATTTATAAATGAGATAAAATCAAGTATGTTATCAGTCAAAATTATATTATATAATCTATATCACAGTAAACAAACACAAGGAATATTACATTTGATGAAAAGTTTTTGAGATCTCATTAGCAATGATTCATAATTGTTTGAAAATAAATATTCAATCGCACAGTATTGCAAAAACTACATTCATTGTACGGTACTTTAATTAAATTAAAAAAAAGATTTATCCGTTCGTATAATATATGAAATAATGATTTGAGTGGTAATCACATATTGGTTGCAGATTTCAAGAGACCAATTCCCTGATGTTTCAAAGCCTTTTAGATAAGTAAACATTAAACAAATAAAAATAAAATTCATTAAAAAAGTTTGCAATCTGGAGATAAAAACAAATACCTCTTTGACGTTATCAGGCATTAGACTCATCTTATAGTTAAGCAATTCATTGGTCAATAATTTGGCCAATTCTTTGGCCAGAGAGGCCTCACTGTCCGAACAGATTTGGTAACTCTCCTAATGGGTCATCAAATGGTAATTAATACAAATATACTGTAAATCGTATGAATAAATACCATATCAGTCAGCGATTTGAGTGTAATTTGTTTGCGATTGTCAATCATTTTGACCAAAGCTGCCATTCCTATGGGCACCCGTTCCACAACAGTACGGTTCATGGGCTCACACTTAGGTACACTTTGCGCACTGTTTTCCATCGATTTCTTTGCCATATTCTGCTGATGAAGAACTGTTCCGATGTGTGAATTGATGTCATTGAATGAACTGAGATAAAAGTCACAGTATTGGCAGTAGAGGTTGGATGAGGACAACTCCTCCACTGTATTCCTTAGCTCTTCCATCTGTTTCACTGGATTTGCTTCCGACTCGACTCTGGGCTCA